GGTTTGAAAAATAAGGAAAACGTTTAGCACACGAGCATCAAATTGGGCAGTATGTCAAAGTGGACTCATGTTGCTGTTTGATGATGCTGGTCGGCCCTCATATGCTGGTCAGAGCTTGAAGCTTTCTTTCTGAAACGACTTGTGATATGATGACTTCATACTCTTTATTTTTTAACTTTGTTCTCATAACATTACAACTTTATTTTTGTAATATTACAACTTAATTCTCTTAATTTACAACTTTATTCTCAAAATTAAAAGAAACATTTCTAGCCTGGCCCTAATACTCTGTCGTACAAAATGTATGTAATAATAATAATAATAATAAAAAAATAGTGAAAAATGTTACTGTATGCAGGAGTGTTTCTGGCTCTCAGATTCCGCAGTTTTTACCTTCACCGCCCAAGGTTGTTGATAGATAAGCATGCTGCTCTTTCTGAAGATTTTTAGGGCAAAAAAACCACTCTACCCTAATTTGGCTAAATGAATTTTTATTCATGTTTAAAATATGATTTTTCAATAGAAACATTTTTATTTCTTTTATGAGCAACTGTGTGAAATGATTAGCTGTTTTAATTTGCCCTAGTATGCCATTTATCTGTACACTTATGCAAACAGTTTCAAAGACCAAGTACTGCTCTTTTAAATTAAGTAAAATATTTTCTTGGGATGGTGAATGAAAAGCCTTCAAGTTCTGTTAAATGGTAGGTGATTGATAAAGCTTATTCAGGGTGTTGTTGCAGTAAAAATATATACTATTTACTTTTTTTTGTCTTTCAGAGATGGCTGAGCACCACAACATCAAGCAGATTTTGACTCTGGCCAGAGATCTGGTGTGCAAAGTGCAGCTGTTGATAGAAAACAAGTGATTGTTCCTGTTTCGTCCTTCATTCCTTCCATGTTAACACATACATGGCTGCAGCAGCACAACACCTTGATACACAAGAGTTCACGTAGAAATTACACAGGGCCTTTACAATCACACTTTGCTGCTTTGAGCCTTACTATCCTCTGTGGTGTTTGTTCCGTCAGCACTATGCGAACCGCACCAGTCTGAGTGCTTTCAATATTTTATGATAAAGCTGTTTTAGCTGCACATTTCAGACATAAAAAGAAGTCTAAATTTAAACAGAGACTGTATTTCTGATAAAAATAGGCTCAAACCAAAAAGAGACATCTTCCTATTCCTATCCCTTAACTAAAGAAAGATTGTTGAGATGTTTTATAATAATATTTATGTAAGAACATTTTAATATTAACAATTAATTAATTGATTAATCTGGCTTGTAGTCTGAACTTTAACCCTATCATCATCATCTCACCCTCAAAATCATTCAAAATAATCTTTCTTAAACTTTGTTTAATTAATTTACAGTGCCTCGCAAAAGTATTCACACCCCTGGAACTTTCTTCTTTTTTCCCCACCGTGAACTTTTATATATTTAGTTGGATATATCTGTTGGACAAATGCAAAGTAGAACATAATTATGAAGTAAATGCAAAACTGAAAGGTCTTACAGTTTTTTTTTTGCAAGTGGAAAATGAAGAGGTGTGATATGCAGTTTTATTTAATCCAATGTTCTCAGAAATACACAAATAAAATTGACTGTGTGCTTGTTAATTTCCTTATTAATACAGCTATTCTAATGAGGCTTTACTGGTTTATAAGAGAACATGAAGACAAAAGAACAAAGCAGATAGGTCAGTGTTAAAGTTTATGCAGCGTTACGTTATAATACAACATCTCAAGCTATGAACATGTGTTTGACAACTGCTTAAATGACTAAGCTCTGCAAGTAAAGCATTATTAATCCCAGAAGTAGCCAAGAGGCCCAGAGTAACTTTGGGGGAGCTGCAGAATTCAACAGCTCATGTGGAAGAGGCTGTGACGCTTCTGTGGGTGCTTTTCTTCAGTTGACGGGAAGATGGTTAATACAAAGTACAGAGACAGACCAAAATGTGGTTGTACAGATACTGCAGGGTCGATCATAAACGCACAACATGCATTGTTTCTTTAACTGTCAGAATTATGGGGGACTTTGTGTCAGCCTTACATTTAAAATCTCAATGAAATAAATTAAACATTAGTGACGTTTAAGGAGTCTTAGTACTTTTGCAAGTCAGTGTTACAGCAAAAATAGAATTTTAAGTGTTCTTTAACTGCGTTTCCTTCCAAGCTGTTTTATCCTGTGTGAAATATTGTGTCTACAGAGAAAATGTGTTCAGAAATCAGAACCTAGTATACTGTTGACTAATGAATCTGTTAATACAAATTCCCACATGGATGAATATGATAAACAATACTTTATAATACCTGTGTATTGCTTTCCATTGCTTGGTGAATTTCTGCCTTTTTTGTAAATTAAGTGCTTTACTTTCCTTAATTTTTGTAATGTCTTGCATTGTCTGGTGCCTGCTTGTTCACTAATTAGAGGGAAAAAAACAGGTGAGGCAGTGGTAACATGCAGTAAGCTTAACCTAATAACTGGACCTTATTCACACACATAGGAAATGGGAAATGTTTTGTTCAAAAGTTTACCTATGATATTTTTGACAAATGTATAATCCATCTTTGATGCAAGTCAATGCCTGTCATATACAGCATAGAACTCCAGGCAGTCGTTTTTCGACCTGTTGTGTTATGAATGTAGTTGGTTTTATTGTATTTATTACTCGTATTTATTTGTGAGTTCCAAGTGCTGTCAGATGATTTATTTTTTTTTTAGTTACTGTAACATTCTTAAGCCAAAGTATTTATTTATTTATTTATTTGTTCTTCTTCTCTGGATGCTGCTTTGTTTGTAAAGCTGAAAGTTTTATTTTGTGGCCAATTTTAGATGTGCAATGTAAACAATCAGATTCTATAATACTTAACATATATACACCTATATATTGAATGGTATATGTTTTTATAATAAAAAATAAAAATGGAATAACTATTTTCCCAAATCGCATTGTAATGTCTATTTTACTGAAAGAGAGTAGAAGGGAAAGAAAATGCCATCAATGGCTAACCAGTATGTTAGGAATGAGTTACTGTCATCACATTTTTGATATTTGGTATTTTTGTTTTAATGCTTCATGTGAGTCTTTGTCATTTTATAGCTTTATGATGGACTGGTGAAATGAGACCAGGGTGTACCCCCTGGAAGTGCTGGCACTGCAAGGATAAGAGCGAAAATGGAAAAATTGACATTACAAGCAGATCATATTTTTTATGGAGCTCCATAATTTTCTTTCTAAAGGGAAAACTGTCATAAAGTATAATAAATAAAAATACAAATTATGCCCTACAAAGCAAAAAGGCTATAACTGCATTTTTGGTTGAAAATTTTTATTATTTTTTTTTTTTTTTATAATTTTGATGATATTCAAGGCATCCTTTGTTATGTTACTCAATATCTTATTTCAAATGTGTGTTCTTTTCAAGAAAAATAAACCATTCATCTAACTAGATCGACCTAGGCTGGACCACACAACTTTTAGGTCATTTAAAGTTTATGCCTAGTTCTGCATAGTTACTGCCATTTTGCTTTGTGGCAGAATTGTGTTGTGCAGAAATACAATATTAAAGAGACATGGAATTGTGCAGGGATAAACATGTCAGAAAATGGATGAATATTTATTGGCTGTCTTTGATTTGGTCTTAAAAAAGAAGTCAATGGGCTGTATGCACAACTCCACTACTTTCTGAAATTATGGCAGCTCCTTTGTTTCTTGTCTTTCTCTACTGGCTGAACTGATTAATCCAGGTGTGTCAGGCCATTGTTGTCGTGGTTACTGATGCCAAACACACCTGGATTAATCGGTTTAGCTAGTAGAGAAAGACAGGAAACAAATTAACTGCCATAAATAAATAATGTGGATAAGAAGGAGGAAATAAGAAGAAAGAGAAGAGGGAAAAAAACAGAGAAAATTGCTGGTTTGAATCCTGCTTGGAGCATGCATTAATTCATGCAAACTTTCACAAAGTGCTCTGAATCTATCAACTATAACTTTAAAACTGATAGAAATACAATAGGTAAGAATAATAAAGCAATTTGTTGCAATAAGAACAATACAGAGAAGATTATTATAACACCTCATATTTGGTTGTCAAATAAAGTTAGGGACATAAAGTTATTTATTTATTTATTTATTTTGTAAATGGACTTCGTTGATTGGCTGTGAAGGTTACAGGGAAAAGATGGAAATAGTGGAACGCGACTAGCTCTAAGGAGAAAGATGGAAATACTAGAACGTGATTGGCTCTACAACCACGGCGATTTATGGAACTAGGCTTTCTTGATAAACTTGATTGTTTCATTTTGATTCGGGTTTGAATCCCAAATGCAAATTTAACAAAGTGATCTAAATCTAAAGCAATTGATAAGAATAATAATGCAATTTGTTGCAATAAGGAAAATAGAGAGAATAATATTGTTTAGCCACACACACATAATACTGCTTATCATATATTATAAATGTTTTTTTTTTTTTTTTTTTTTTCTGTTAATCATTTTTTACACACTCTCGATCTTTCTGGATCTGTCTGCAATATCAAGCTGTCATTTTCTTGTAGTTTTAATGCTGTAACAGTGCATACAGTTATTAATCAGACGTTTATATATAAAAAACAATCCACAATACAATTATGTTGTACAAAGCAAAAAGGCAGTAACTATGAAAAGAGGCATGAACTTTAAACGACTTAAAATTTATATTGTTATATATTGATATTTATTTCCTCAGTGTTTCCTGTTTATTTTTAAACATTCACTAAATTTTTATCTAAAAATAGTTTACATTGAACAGATGCAAACGTAATTGCGCCACAAGAGTTAAATCTCAAATTCTGAAAAAGTACGCCCGAACAGGGACTTGAACCCTGGACCCTCAGATTAAAAGTCTGATGCTCTACCGACTGAGCTATCCGGGCGCTCATGTCCACAGGAAAGCGTGAGAAAAATTTTAAAAAAGGAGAAACTCAACATGTATATCGGGATTTTGTATGATCACTTCGTTCCTAGACCATCATTAATCTTTCATTATCTCGTATTAAAAAAAAAACAGACGGTATGCCGACCATCATGCTAACTAGTCCAGGTAAATTTCTTTCTTAAAAACCAAACTGAGGACACCTTGTCATACCAAATGTCGGCGCTTTAGTCACAATCTTTATAATGAGACACATTTACAATAACATTAAAAGGCTAAAGAATCATTGAATTCAAGCCAGCTTCAACCGGAAACGAAAGCCAAGCCAGCCCTTACTGGCTTTTTATTGGTTACGTATACTCTATAAAACACGGTACCAGCGCTGGCTTGGACTTTTCAAAATAAAACCAACAAATGTAACGTTTATCAACAGTACATATTAACAGTGGAAGTTTATTACCCTTTCCTAGCATATTTACAGTTCTCATCGTAAGGATTGTTTTTTTTTAAGTTTTATGTGGAAGAATATTCGGTAAAAGTATTTCGTATGCACTAATTTATTATTTTATATTCATGACATTTATTTGTATTCTTTAGGCATTTAAGTCTTTAAAATACTAAAACCTGCACATCAAGTTTTGCCAGCATAATTTCTAGATTAAAGTGGATGTTAGTATCCAACAGTTAGACTGCACTAAAGCAGTCTTTTTACCAAAATACTTTTTAAAATTTTTATTTAGGTTATTTCTTGAATTAATTGTTTTACTTAATTAAAAATTGGTAAAGTGGTGTTATTCTTCCTCGAGTACAATTTTTGGGTATTTTTCCCACCTCTGCTTATAAATCATGCAAAAGGGAATCTTAGACTTGTTTTTTATTTGTTTTCTGTTTTGCTTCAAGTAAAGTCTGATCTTACATTCACTTCTGATTAATCATTGTCATCTGATTGCTTACTCTGTTCCCTCCCACAGGTAAGAGGGAAACCCCAGGTGTTCCACCTCACCTGTCTGCAGGTATTTACAGCCCGTCATGAAACTGCATAGATAAAAGCCATACAGTGGCTTTTTAGGAGAATGGAAAATGAAACTTAAAGAGAAAGGGATATCAAAAATATTCAGTGAAGAAAAGGGGAGGGAGGATTGATTGGACAGTAGCTATATAAACAGCATGGTTAGATCAGCTTCATTAACGATCTGTGAGCACTTGAAGGAGAGTTTATTCATTGGAAATTCATCTCAAGGTAAGTTCATCTCCCTTTGAACATGTTTTTTTCAATCTTCCTCATTAAAAAATGCTGTTACCTTCAACTAAATACTTTCATATACCTTTTTTTAGATAAATTTCATCATGGAAATATTCATCATTTTGATGGATGGGACATCCCGCATACTGAAGGTCAACCCACATCACACAGTGGGTCATTTGAAAAAGTGCATCGAAAAAGAGATGGGATTCCCTGTTTCGATGCAGAAGCTGATCTTCAAAAACGGCCAAAGCACCCATCTGAACGACGACTCCAGGATGCTGAGCTCCTACAGCATGCAGCCGGGCTCCCAGGTGTACCTGTTGATCACTGAGCCGCCAACCCAGCCCTCTACCTTCGAGGTTTTCCTGAAAAATGAACAGGGGATATCCAGCACCTATGATATCACAGAGAAGGAGACTGTGGCGAACTTCAAGAGAAGAGTGCAGGAAAGAGAAGGGGTTCCTGCAAAGCAGCAGAGGTTGATCCATGAAGGTGTAGAGATGCAGGGTGGAAAACTGACTGACTACAACGTCAGGGAGCTGAGCACCATCTTCATGACTTTGCGTCTGAGAGGAGGCTGAGGACACGACATGAAAAACTTTCTAGTTTATTTTTTTTGTTTTGTAATTACATTTATCCTAAATTGTTCTCAACTGTTGTTCCTTTTACATGTATTAATGAATACCAACACATGTAGTCTACTTTAAAGTGTGTAATGTAATTGATTAATTAATTCCAATAATAAAAGCGGTCATGAGAAATGCCATGTCTCTTTAATATTGTATTTCTATCTTTCTTCTGATCAGGTTATGCTTAGAAACAAATAAGTTGTTCTTTTCCAATGTAATATATGAAATTCTCTATTTTAAGGCCTTCCTGTAGATAATTGGAATAGAAATATTTTTAAAATACATATATTGTTTCCTCTATACATCATTCTTTGTGTGTTAAACCAACATTATAAATATGATTATTTTTTAGAATCTATAATAAAGTAGCTGACTATTCAAGGGGGCTTCAGTGTATATAAAAAGAAAGTCTAGCGAAAGGAAATAGGTGCACAATGTTTGCTTGTTTAAGTGCATCCTTGAGAGTAATTTGAATCAAATGATGTCCTAGAATGAATCTACAATAGGCAGGCAGGTTGGTGCAAAGAAATCAACTAAGGAAGCAGTTGGAGGAAAATAGAACACATTCAAGATTAGTGATAATCTGGATCTGGAGTCCTGAGCAATATTCTATCCCTTGGGGTTAAAATGATTATGAGAACTGTGAGCAAAAGTTGCTAAACTGCACAGAGGGACCCGAGGAATAACCTGCAGGGAGCTGGGACCAAAGTAACAACGGGAATAATTTTAGTGTTTTTTTTTTATTATTATTTAGTTAGAGTTTTACATGATTAATGCATGCACTTTATATTAACTAAGTATATAAAGTGCACATTTAGATAAATATCAGTTGTTGTTAGACCAAGACTTTGTTTCCAGCTATTGATTTTCACTTCAAGGTGATAGTAGGGAACCCCTACATATTTCTCACTAGAGGTCATTAGGGTCTGATGTGGAATTTAAAAATGAAAGCCAAAATCTGTCTAATTAACGATTTTTATGTATTTTTCTTTGAATATTGCCAAGAACCCCCCTGTTTCCTGTTACTATTTTCACCTTAGGGTTGCAGTGGGACACCCATAGGCCTATATCGTTCTCGCCATATTGCATTAAGATCTGATGTGGAACATAAAGATTAAAGCCTCTCAAAATTATTATTATTATTATTATTATTATTATTATTTTGTATTTTAACAACGTTTCGAAAGAAATGGATATGTAGGTAAAATAAAGCTGCATTCTGATATAAAGCGCACAAATGATCCACATAAAACGCTATCTGAACAAAAAAATTTTTTAAATCATTCTCATATATTCACATCAACAGAAGAAATACTTTTTAGACCAGAGGTGTGTAAATACAAAAAAAATCTTGTTAATAAACGTTAAACGTGTCGGTTTTATTTTGAAAAGTCCAAGCCTGCGTTGGTACCGTATTACCGTGTATTTGTGGCCGATAAAAAGCCATCCCGGAAGCGCGATCCGTTCTGCGCATGCGCTATCAGCTCATTTTCAGTAAACCAGGAAGTACTTTTAGCGCAGCCTTCCTTTCACCTCCTGCCTCTTTAACGCGTTGTTAACTGGGCTACGAGTAATGGGTATCTGACCTTAATGAATAAGAGAGCTCAGAAAATGTGGCTATTTTCATCTGAATAACTAGAAGAGACAGTGAGGTAAATATGCTTAAGGTGTCAGCATTTCACGCGCTTCGTAGCGTTTCCCTGGAAAGCATTGGGATTTCATTTGCCCTGTTGACAAACAATGTTTACTCCGTAAGCACCAAACGATGCAGACTCAGAGGTCTGCAGAGCCGCACCTTGGATGTCATAAGATTGTTCAGCTCCAACCAACATAACCCAAAGTTAAGTTAATAATTTTAACTTTAAATACACCACCATCAAGCTCTTGCAACAATATATTTACTTTTAGAGATTTTGATTTTGATTATCTTACAGGTCCCAAAAGTGCCAACATGGGAATCAGTAGCAGAGGAGCAGCTTCCACCGGTAATAATGACTAATAAAGAACACAATGCAATCACAGCCCTGAAGTAAAATAAAATTCATAATAGGTGTTTATTTATTTATTTACAAATAAGAGTTTTATATAAGAGTTTTTATAGATTTTTTTTTTATTCATTTTGCCATTCAAAGGCCCATTCATAACACTGTACAAGGCAAAGGTCAATTTATAGGGAATGACATTTAAATTTCCTCTTTTATGTCGCAGATAATTAATATTGAAGTTATTTCCTTCTGTTTTGTGATACTTCATATAAAATTATATCTAACGTTATTAGTCTGTTTTTGTTTACATTTGAAATTGCCAATTAGACGTGATATAACTTGTTTTTCTTATGATTTTTGGGGGCCAAATTCTAAACACTTTTAGATACCAGAGAAACACATCTCTCTGCAGAACAGCCAAAATGATTGAACCCTAAAGTTGGTTGATATTTGGGCACAAGTCTCATAATTTATAGAATAAATGTCTCATTTTGAGCGTTTTGGAGCATGGATTAACCAACCTATCCAAGTTTGGTCTAACTATGAATAAATTTCTCAGGCATCTTCCTTTATTTTTTGCAGCCCACGAAAATCCCTGTTGACCTAGTGGACAAGCTGGAGCGTCTGGCCTTGGTGGATTTTCGGACAAAACAGGGGCTGGAATGTTTGGAGAAAGCCATCCGTTTTGCAGATCAGCTCCATGTTGTTGACACATCTGGGGTTGAACCGATGGATTCAGTTCTGGAGGACAGGTGCTGAGCAGATGCTTTGAATGTACATCTTGGCCCCAAAGAATAGTTTCTAATGGACCTTATTAATGGATGTGTTTGATGCGCTCAGGGCTTTATATCTGAGGGACGACACAGTTACAGAGGGTGACTGTGCAGAGGAGCTGCTTAAGCTTTCAAAAAATACAGTTGAAGAATACTTTGTTGCACCACCAGGTATTTCTAGCACCTGAATTCTCTTAAGATTTTTTTTACAAAATCATATTTAAAACAGCAGAGTCATGATAATTTTTCTCTTTCTTTTCCCCAGGAAACATTCCTCTACCTAAGAGGGAGGAGAGAGCTGCCATCCTCAGACACTCCGAGTTCTGATGACTTAATTGTGAATGATTTATTATTTTAAAATAGAGAACAGTATATGTCTGCCTCAGCCTACAGTTTGCAACCCATCTGGGTAGAAGCTGAGCTGGTTTATGACTGCCTTTACTGCAGTTTATAAGCAGCCGTAAACAATCTGGAAGAAACTGCCAAACATCTTGCTGGTTTCATCTATTTGTCTTCTATTAAAACTTCCTGTTGTTGAAAAACAAGTTTAGGTTTCAGTTTTAATTTTAATTTCACAGATTAACATAAAACATTTTTATTAAAGTGCATCTCAAAACTCTTTTTATGAGGATTGTTTTAAACTGGTATACCTATAAATCTAAATATTGGTTTTACAATAAAGGAATATAAATGAAAAAAAACAATCTCTTCACATTTTTTCTGTGTGAGAAATCAAGATATAAATTGAGTTTTTTATAAGAGAACTCTAACACTTAATCATAAACATCAAATTAAACATGTAAAATTTGCTTTATGATTTGTGGAGTTCTTAAAAACATCTTGAAAATCTTCATCCTTATGAAGAATTTAAATCAAAGCCCAGAGAGTGTCTGATAGAGTGGACTGCAGCTGAGCTCAGTGCTTTAAAAGCCATCACACAAACCGATCCAGTGACATCAAAAGGTCTGACCTGGGCTGTTGCTCAGTGATCTAAAGGCCGAGGATTTGCCAAGCAAATATCTTCTACTTGTGTTGGACTGTTTGTGTTTTTTTCTCCAGGAGTGATTAGTTTTTCTCCGTAATCACTTTTCCTCATTGATCATATTGGATGTTTTTCTCTTGAAAATCTGGTTTACTCTTGTTATGTTAGTCTGTTATCAATAGGGCTGTACATCTTAACGATTGTTTTAGTAATGAAATGAATTATTAGTTTTTTAATTATTTCATTTATCTAAATAATATGCCTAAAAAAATGCAAATGTAAAGTTTTAAAATGTGTATACTTTTGTTTAGGATTCAAATTACTTACCATATAAGTTGATTGTTATTTACATAAACAATTAAATAACAATGTCATTAATTTTATGAAATTCAGTGAGATGTACGTTCATTGATATAGCCATTTTTTTTTTAGTTAAAGAGGAAATTGTTGTTTGCTGTCTACCTGACATTGATATTTGTTTTGTATTGCAATTTCCCTATTAACAGAGGTGGGTAGGAACTAGTTACATTTACTCAGTTACATTAACTTGAGTAACAATTTAAAAAAAAATTACTTTTAGTAGTGTTACTGAGCCATACGTCTAACTGTTACTTGAACAATTATTTTGTAAAGTATCACTACTCCTACTTGAGTAAAATCTCTACTCTGCCCTCTGAGTAATTTGAACAATTCCAAGACAAGTTAAACAAGCAGTAAACAGCAGATGTTAACAGTGGGAATTTGTTACCCTGTCCTAGCATATTTACAGTTCTCATCGTAAGGATTGGTTTTGCCAGTATAGTTTCTAAACATTGAAGTGGATGTTAGAATCCAACAGTTACACTGAACTCAAGCAGCCTTTTTACCAAAATACTTTTTAAAAATTTTATTTAGGTAATTTCTTAAATTAATTGTTTTACTTAAGTAAAAAATAGTAAAATAGTGCTATTCTTCCTCAAGTACAATTTTTGGGCACTCTACCCACCTCTGTTTATAAATCGTACAAAATGGAATCTTAGAATTGTTTTTGTTTTGTTTTTTGCTTCAAGTAAAGTCTGATCTCACATTCTCTGATCACTCTGTTCCCTCCCACAGGTAAAAGGGAAACCACAGGTGTTCCACCTCACCTCTCTGCAGGTATATACAGCACGTCATGAAACTATGTAAATAAAAGCCATACCATGGCTTTTTAGGAGAATGGAAAATGAAACTTAAAGAAGAAAAAGGGAGGGAGGATGATGGACTGATTGGACAGTAGCTATATAAACAGCCTCGTTGGAGCAGCTTCATTAATGATCTTTGAGCACTTAAAGGAGACTTTATTCATTGGAAATTCATCTCAAGGTAAGTTCATCTCCCTTTTAACATCTTTATCATCTTCATTGTGAAAAATTACAGTTGACCTAAACTAAATACTTTCAAATCCATTTTTTAGATAAGTTTCATCATGGAAATATTCATCAGTTTGATGGGCGGGGAGCCCCAAATGCTGATAGTCAACCCCAGTCACACAGTGGGTGATTTGAAAAAGTGCATCGAAAATGAGATGGGGGTCCACGTTTCGGAGCAGAAGCTGAAATTCACTAATGACGATCTGAACGATGACTCCAGGACGCTGAGCTCCTACAGCATGCAGCCGGGCTCCCAGGTGTACCTGTTGATCACTGAGCCACCAACCCAGCCCTCTACCTTCCAGGTTTTCCTGAAAAATGAAAAGGGGATAATCAGCACCTATGATATCACAGAGAAGGAGACTGTGGAGAACTTCAAGAGGAGAGTGTATGAAAGAGAAGGGGTTCCTGCAAACCAGCAGAGGCTGATCCATGAAGGTCGAGAGATGCAGAGTGGAAAACTGACTGACTACAAAGTCAGGGAGCTGAGCACCATCTTCATGACTCTGCGTCTGAGAGGAGGCTGAGGACACAACATGAAAAACTTTCTAGGTTTTTTTGTGTGTGTTTGTAATTACATTTATCCTAAATTATTCTCAACTGTTGTTCCTTTTACATGTATTAATGAATAACAACACATGTAGCCTATTTAAAGAGTGTAATGTAATTGATTAACTAATTCCAATAATAAAAGCGGTCATGAGAAATGCCATGTCTCTTTAATATTGTATTTCTATCTTTCTTCTGATCAGGTTACGCTTAGAAACAAAAAAGTTATTCTTTTCCAATGTAATATATGAAATTCTCTATTTTAAGGCCTTCCTGTGGATAATTGGAATAGAATTAGTTTTAAAATACATATATCATTTCGTCTTTACTTCATTCTTTGTGTGTAAAACCAACATTATAAATATGATTCTTTTTTAGAATCTATAATAAGGTAGCTGACTGTTCAGGGGCAGGGGGTTTCAGTGTATATAAAAAGAAAGTCTAGTGAAAGAAAAAAGTAAAAGGGAAAATGTGCACAATGTTTGCTTGTTTAAGTGAATCCTTGAGAATAATTTGAATCAAATTATGTCCTAGAATGAATCTACAATAGGCAGGCAGGTTGGTGCAAAGAAATCAACTAAGGAAGCAGTTGGCGGAAAATAGAACACAGTAATAATCTGTGTTAGTGATAATCTGGATCTAGAGTCCCGAGCAATATTCTATCCCTTGGGGTTAAAATGATCATGAGCAAAAGTTGCTAAACTGCACAGATGTACCAGATGAATAAGCTGCAGAGAGCTGGGTCCAGAGTAACAAAGGCTGCCATCAGTAACATACTACACTCAAATCCTGGATGTCCCCCTGCTTAAGCCAGTACATGTGCAGGCATGTCTGAAGTTTGTCAGAGAGGATACAGTATAGTACAGTATACAGAAAAGGATTGGGAGAATATTATATAGTTAAATGAAACACAAACAGAACTTTTTTGCACAAACTCAACGTATTTCAAGGTCCTGGAGTCAATCTCCAGACTTCAACCCATAGAAATTATGTGGAGTAGATTGAAAGTCCAGGTTGCCCAGTGACAGCCCCAAAAATTCACCCCTCTAGTGGAGAATGGCATAGGATGGACCAAAATACCAGCTTCAGTGTAAATAAACCTGGAGAAGCCTAACAAGAAATATCTGACCTCTGCCATTGCGATCAAAGATTATGTTACAACATATTGAATAGAACATTACTTCTTAACCAAATGCTCACTTTCAACATAATTTACAAATACAAAAAACAAACTGAGGACATTTGGTATGACATTTGGTATGACATTTGTCATACCAAATGTCGGGTCTTTAGTCACAATCTTTATAATGAGACACATTTACAATAACATTTAAAGCCTAAAGAATCACTGAATTCAAGCTAGCTTCAACCAGAAACGAAAGTCAAGCCAGCCCTTAGTTGCTTTTTATTGGTCACGTATACACTATGAAACACGGTACCAACGCTGGCTTGGACTTTTCAAAATAAAGCCAACAATTTTGACGTTTATCAGCTAGAATTTTTGTTGTAATTACACCCCTCTGGTTTAAAACGTACTTCTCTGCTGATATGAATGATTTTAGTGGGGGGATTTTGTTTGTTTTTTATTTATTTCGCGTTTTACATGATTAATGCATGCACTTTATATCAACTAAGTATATAAAGTGCACATTTAAATAAATATCAGTTTTTGTTAGACCAAAACTTTGTTTCCACCAATTGATTTCACTTCAAGGTGACAGTAGGGAACCCCTACATATTTCTCACCAAAGATCATCAGGGTCTGATGTGGAATGTAAGAATGAAAGCCAAAATCTGTAAAATTGGCGATTTTTATTTTTTTTAATGTATTTTTCTTTGAATATTGCCAAGAACCCCCCTGTTTCCTGTTACTATTTTCCCCTTAGGGTCGCAGTGGGACACCATATATGGTTCTCACCATATTGCATTAAGATCTGATGTGGAATTTAAAGATTAAAGCCTCTCAAAATGATTTTTTTTAAACAACGTTTTGATAAAATTGATATGTAGGTAAAATAAAGCTACAAATGAACCATATAAAAGGCTGTCTCAACAAAAATTTTTTTAAATCATTCTGATATATTCATATCAACAGAAGAAATACTTTTTAGACCAGAGGTGTGTAAATAAGAAAAATTCTAGTTAATCGACGTTAAACTTGTCGGTTTTATTTTGAAAAGTCCAAGCCTGCGTTGGTACCGTAGTTAATAGTGTATTGTGGTCTTCCCGGAAGCACGATCCGTTATGCGCATGCGCTATCAGCTAATTTTCAGTAAATCAGGAAGTACTTTTAGCTCAGCCTTCCTTTCACCTCCTGCCTCTTTAACGCGTTGTTACTGGGCTACGAGCAATGGGTACCTGACCTTAATGGATAAGAGAGCTGAGAAAATGTGGCTATTTTCATCTAAANCTACAGTTTGCAACCCATCTGGGTAGAAGCTGAGCTGGTTTATGACTGCCTTTACTGCAGTTTATAAGCAGCCGTAAACAATCTGGAAGAAACTGCCAAACATCTTGCTGGTTTCATCTATTTGTCTTCTATTAAAACTTCCTGTTGTTGAAAAACAAGTTTAGGTTTCAGTTTTAATTTCACAGATTAACATAAAACATTTTTATTAAAGTGCATGTCAAAACTCTTTTTTTGAGGATTGTTTTAAACTGCTATAACTATAAATCTAAATATTGGTTTTACAATAAAGGAATATAAATGAAAAAAAACAATCTCTTCACATTTTTTCTGTGTGAGAAATCAAGATATAAATTGAGTTTTTTATAAGAGAACTCAAACACTTAATCATAAACATCAAATTAAACATGTAAAATTTGCTTTATGATTGGTGGAGTTCTTAAAAACATCTTGAAAATCTTCATCCTTATGAAGAATTTAAATCAAAGCCCAGAGAGTGTCTGATAGAGTGGACTGCAGCTGAGCTCAGTGCTTTAAAAGCCATCACACAAACCGATCCAGTGACATCAAAAGGTCTGACCTGGGCTGTTGCTCAGTGATCTAAAGGCCGAGGATTTGCCAAGCAAATATCTTCTACTTGTGTTGGACTGTTTGTGTTTTTTTCTCCAGGAGTGATTAGTTTTTCTCCGTAATCACTTTTCCTCATTGATCATATTGGATGTTTTTCTCTTGAAAATCTGGTTTACTCTTGTTATGTTAGTCTGTTATCAATAGGGCTGTACATCTTAACGATTGTTTTAGTAATGAAATGAATTATTAGTTTTTTAATTATTTCATTTATCTAAATAATATGCCTAAAAAAATGCAAATGTAAAGTTTTAAAATGTGTATACTTTTGTTTAGGATTCAAATTACTTACCATATAAGTTGATTGTTATTTACATAAACAATTAAATAACAATGTCATTAATTTTATGAAATTCAGTGAGATGTACGTTCATTGATATAGCCATTTTTTTTTTAGTTAAAGAGGAAATTGTTGTTTGCTGTCTACCTGACATTGATATTTGTTTTGTATTGCAATTTCCCTATTAACAGAGGTGGGTAGGAACTAGTTACATTTACTCAGTTACATTAACTTGAGTAACAATTTAAAAAAAAATTACTTTTAGTAGTGTTACTGAGCCATACGTCTAACTGTTACTTGAACAATTATTTTGTAAAGTATCACTACTCCTACTTGAGTAAAATCTCTACTCTGCCCTCTGAGTAATTTGAACAATTCCAAGACAAGTTAAACAAGCAGTAAACAGCAGATGTTAACAGTGGGAATTTGTTACCCTGTCCTAGCATATTTACAGTTCTCATCGTAAGGATTGGTTTTGCCAGTATAGTTTCTAAACATTGAAGTGGATGTTAGAATCCAACAGTTACACTGAACTCAAGCAGCCTTTTTACCAAAATACTTTTTAAAAATTTTATTTAGGTAATTTCTTAAATTAATTGTTTTACTTAAGTAAAAAATAGTAAAATAGTGCTATTCTTCCTCAAGTACAATTTTTGGGCACTCTACCCACCTCTGTTTATAAATCGTACAAAATGGAATCTTAGAATTGTTTTTGTTTTGTTTTTTGCTTCAAGTAAAGTCTGATCTCACATTCTCTGATCACTCTGTTCCCTCCCACAGGTAAAAGGGAAACCACAGGTGTTCCACCTCACCTCTCTGCAGGTATATACAGCACGTCATGAAACTATGTAAATAAAAGCCATACCATGGCTTTTTAGGAGAATGGAAAATGAAACTTAAAGAAGAAAAAGGGAGGGAGGATGATGGACTGATTGGACAGTAGCTATATAAACAGCCTCGTTGGAGCAGCTTCATTAATGATCTTTGAGCACTTAAAGGAGACTTTATTCATTGGAAATTCATCTCAAGGTAAGTTCATCTCCCTTTTAACATCTTTATCATCTTCATTGTGAAAAATTACAGTTGACCTAAACTAAATACTTTCAAATCCATTTTTTAGATAAGTTTCATCATGGAAATATTCATCAGTTTGATGGGCGGGGAGCCCCAAATGCTGATAGTCAACCCCAGTCACACAGTGGGTGATTTGAAAAAGTGCATCGAAAATGAGATGGGGGTCCACGTTTCGGAGCAGAAGCTGAAATTCACTAATGACGATCTGAACGATGACTCCAGGACGCTGAGCTCCTACAGCATGCAGCCGGGCTCCCAGGTGTACCTGTTGATCACTGAGCCACCAACCCAGCCCTCTACCTTCCAGGTTTTCCTGAAAAATGAAAAGGGGATAATCAGCACCTATGATATCACAGAGAAGGAGACTGTGGAGAACTTCAAGAGGAGAGTGTATGAAAGAGAAGGGGTTCCTGCAAACCAGCAGAGGCTGATCCATGAAGGTCGAGAGATGCAGAGTGGAAAACTGACTGACTACAAAGTCAGGGAGCTGAGCACCATCTTCATGACTCTGCGTCTGAGAGGAGGCTGAGGACACAACATGAAAAACTTTCTAGGTTTTTTTGTGTGTGTTTGTAATTACATTTATCCTAAATTATTCTCAACTGTTGTTCCTTTTACATGTATTAATGAATAACAACACATGTAGCCTATTTAAAGAGTGTAATGTAATTGATTAACTAATTCCAATAATAAAAGCGGTCATGAGAAATGCCATGTCTCTTTAATATTGTATTTCTATCTTTCTTCTGATCAGGTTACGCTTAGAAACAAAAAAGTTATTCTTTTCCAATGTAATATTTGAAATTCTCTATTTTAAGGCCTTCCTGTGGATAATTGGAATAGAATTAGTTTTAAAATACATATATCATTTCGTCTTTACTTCATTCTTTGTGTGTAAAACCAACATTATAAATATGATTCTTTTTTAGAATCTATAATAAGGTAGCTGACTGTTCAGGGGCAGGGGGTTTCAGTGTATATAAAAAGAAAGTCTAGTGAAAGAAAAAAGTAAAAGGGAAAATGTGCACAATGTTTGCTTGTTTAAGTGAATCCTTGAGAATAATTTGAATCAAATTATGTCCTAGAATGAATCTATAATAGGCAGGCAGGTTGGTGCAAAGAAATCAACTAAGGAAGCAGTTGGCGGAAAATAGAACACAGTAATAATCTGTGTTAGTGATAATCTGGATCTAGAGTCCCGAGCAATATTCTATCCCTTGGGGTTAAAATGATCATGAGCAAAAGTTGCTCAACTGCACAGAGGGACCCTGGGAATAACCTGCAGGGAGCTGGGACCAAAGTAACAAAGGCTGCCATCAGTAACATACTACACTCAAATCCTGGATGTCCCCCTGCTTAAGCCAGTACATGTGCAGGCATGTCTGAAGTTTGTCAGAGAGGATACAGTATAGTACAGTATACAGAAAAGGATTGGGAGAATATTATATAGTTAAATGAAACACAAACAGAACTTTTTTGCACAAACTCAACGTATTTCAAGGTCCTGGAGTCAATCTCCAGACTTCAACCCATAGAAATTATGTGGAGTAGATTGAAAGTCCAGGTTGCCCAGTGACAGCCCCAAAAATTCACCCCTCTAGTGGAGAATGGCATAGAGGATGGAATAAATTCCAGCTTCAGTGTAAATAAACCTGGAGAAGCCTAACAAGAAATATCTGACCTCTGCCATTGCGATCAAAGGTTATCCTACATATTGAATAGAACATTACTTCTTAACCAAATGCTTACTTTCAACATAATTTACAAACTATTTATATAAAATCCCACAATTTTATTTCCTGGATTTTTTCCCCCATTGGTCCATAAAAGTAGAAATATAAACATATGAACATTTTTGACCTGTATTATCTTTGTAAGTAGGACAACTTAAACAATCAGCAACTGAATAAATACTTTTTTTAAATCTGTTTTGCATAAATTGAATAAATAGCATCCTCATTTGCAAACTGCATTTTGTTTTCTCTAATTATGGTTGTCTGTCAATATTTGTTTAGTCATCTGAAAGGTAAAAGTGGGTCAGTAAAAACAAAAATGAGGAACTAAAGGAATGCAAATATATATTTTTTGTTTACCGCGTTTATATTCCTAATATGAATTATGTTTTTGAGAACAGAGTTGTTCAAGTTTAAGAGGAAATAGTTGTTTAGCTCCTGTCTCCTATTGCGCATCACGTTTTCGTTTTCTGTTTTGCTTCAAACGAAATGTGACCTCACATCCTTATCAGATAAATTAACACCATGTGATTTGTTATGGAGCTGGTTTTGTTTTCCTCCTCCCATCGAGGTAAGCCCCAGCGAGCTGATGTACATTCTTTGCAGGCTTCTGTGGCACTTAAGGACAGGCGTTTCTGCAGACTCATGTGTGGAGACTGAAAACCGAAACTTAATGAGACAGAGCGGGGAAAACGAACCTTAAGTGAGGTGGGAGGGCACTGATGGGCTGGGCTCCTTTGTATATAAACACAGCTGTTCAAGCCTGAGGACAGATCAGCTGGATCAAAGCTTATTGCATGTTTGAAGGAGAATTAATTCATTACTGGATAATTGCAAGGTAAGTTTGTCTACATTTGAACCTGTTTATTACATTCCTTAAGAAAAATTACTTTAATAAATACTTTTAATATTAATTTTTAGATCAGTTTCATCATGGATATTGTCATCGTTATGCTGAACGGGACATCCCGCACGCTGAGAGTCAACCCAAATGACACAGTGGGTGATCTGAAGGAGCGCATCCAAAATGAGATGGGATGCCTCGTTTCGACGCAAAAGCTTGTCTTCACTAACGGCCAGAGCACCAATCTGAACGACGACTCCAGGACTCTGAGGTCCTACAACATGCAGTCGGGCTCCCAGGTGTCCCTGTTGATTACCCAGCCCTCTACCTTCCAGGTTTTCCTCCAAAATGAAAAGGGGAAAACCAGCACCTATGATATCACAGGGGATGAGACTGTGGAGAACTTCAAGAGGAGAGTGCAGGAAAGAGAAGGGGTTCCTGCAAACCAGTTCAGGCTGATCCATGAAGGTCGAGAGATGCAGGGTGGAAAACTGACTGACTACAATGTGAAGAAGCATAGCACCATCACCATGGCTTTGCGCCTGAGAGGAGGCTGAGGACACAACATGAAAACTTTCTAGTTTTTTGTTTTATTTTCATGTATCATGAAGAAAAATCATTCCATAAACATTTTGTCATCACACACACACACACACACACACACACACACACACACACACACACACACACACACACACACACACACACACACATTAAGGATAAAGATGTATTTTATAGTATTGTTTTAATGTATTAACTATTAATTATAATAATAAAAGTCACTCTTGACAAATGGCATGTCTCATTAGTATTTTATTCATTTGTTCAGATCAGCAGGTTATAAAAAAAAAAAAAAACTAATTTGTTTTTTGTAAAAATTACATTTTTTCAACACAGTCCTCTTTGAGTAAAGCATGAAATATCCTTTTAAATTGTACAATTTTAAAGCGATATAAATTAAACCATCAAACAAGAGATTTTATGTATAAACAAAGTCAGCCATATTAGGAAATAGGTCGAATCTTCTCAGTCGAAGCTTTGTCCAAACGAGCCCTCATTTCCTCACAGTGGCAAGGTAGGCATACCAGAATAAGGCAATCATGTTGGCGAACAGCACTCGAAACTGAAACAAACACACAGAGGGAGACGTGAAAAAACAAAGGAAGTTAGTGTGAGACCCATCCTGTCTCTAAGAGACAGGAAGTCAATGATAGAACGTACTTGAACAGGCACAAAGTTGATATTTATGAATGTGAAGGGGGTCCAAACTTTCCAGTTCATCTTCAGAGCTGTCCAGTAACTCCTCCTCATTTTCATCTCAAAATCTTCCCAACCTTTAGCCTATAAAAAATGTGTGAAAATGATAAAATAGTACTTAGTTGCTTAATGCTTAGTTATATTATAAACAATAGACACTGATTTTCTAATTGTACATATAAAAATAAGACTGGTGGTATTTAAAATTGATATTCATAGCATCATCCAAATGTTGAATTGAGTATATATCAAATTTGTAGCATAATTTTGCCCAGATATGAAATAAACTAATTATTTAGATGGTACTAATTTATGGATTGTTCCTGTATGATAAAACGTTGACAAACAGAACATTTAATATTTAGAGATTTAAAAACTCATCAATGTAAATATTCTCAAGCATTGATTTTTCCCTTGGATTTTAAGATGGGGAGAGGATGAGGCCTTCTGACAACTTTTTCATTTCCATTACCTATTTTTGAAGCTTCAGGTACTGACTGATATCAACGTAAATCATTCACTTTTAGCAGAAAATGCTTAATCAAGTGACATTACTCAAAACAAACAAAAATAACAGCTATGAGAACAACTGATCCATTTATTATTAACCAATGGTTAACATTAACTTTAAATAGAGATGAAGTGTTTCTATCAGTTTGCTAATATCTAAGATTTAAGATGCAGGTTGATGATCAATACTTGGTCAAATATTGAACTCTCTACTCTGCTACATTTCTAGGAAGCTGCAAGTTACTTGTTCCTTTTCACTCAGCTTAGATTTATAATCCTCTGTTATAGGAGTGAATTTGGACACCACTATTTTATAGATTGTCATCACATTCCACAAATGTGATAAGCTCAGAGCGGATATTATTTGCAGTGTATACCTTTTATGAAGGCATTAGTTATTGCTATGTGGCCAAGTTGTTGAGCAGGATGAGTTCTCAATGCAGAGTTGCAGTTTCTTAGTGGTAATAGATTCAACCTTAAACCTCTCTTCCAGAGCTAAAGTCTTTTTTTGGTTTGTTTTTTAATAAGAAATAATAATCAAAACAATTGTCCTTATCAGAAATGTACTGATATTAGAAAATTTGCATTTTTGGATTCTTAAGTACTTTTAAATGCATGTACTTTTGAATACCTAAGTATTTTTAAAAGTGAGCACTTCAATACTTTGAGTAGATGTTTGAATGAATAAGATTTGATTATGAGTATCAATACTTTTACTCAAGTCCTGCTGTTGAGTACTACGTCCTCCACTGCTAATATGTAGCAGCCAAGATAACCTGATCAGTTCTACACAGAACATACAGTAATTATATAGTATTGAAATCAGTATATCTGTAGTTTATGTGTGTTTTGTGTTGAAAATGGCACCTCCAGAATGTTCATCACAAGGTAGAAAATGAACAGGAAGCCTGGTGCAAAGATGAGTCGGTCCAGTAAGAGTCTTTTGACTATACAGTATGGGTCTGTGGTTGGCATCCACACCTCCATCAGCTGGTAAAAGAAATGGCTCACTGGACCAGTGATAATCAATCTAAAAGAGGCAGAAAAGGAGGAAAACAATAACACAAAAATAAATCTCTTGTTTTTTTCCACCAGTTAACTTTTTTCTCTATACAGCACATTGCAGAAAGCAATTATCGATGTCAAACTTTAAAGCGATTTGTAGGATTACAATCACACATTTTAATACATTTCATTGAGATTTTATGTGATAGGTCAGCAAAAAGTAGGTAGCACAACCAGAATGAAAGTAATATACAACAAATATGTTACAAAAAAATAAAAATCTAGCCCCTGGACTCTGCTACTCATGTATAAATTGCAATTCAGCTATTTACATTCCGTAGGTACTGTATCTAGCTGGTAAACAGTGTTCGAGTTTAATCCAATCATAAAGTTTGTCTGTGAAAGGCTGCAGCTTTTATTACAGAACCTCAATGGATAGTAGCGTCATGAGGAAAAAAGGGCAAAAGATGTGAAAGTTTGAAGCAAGGTTAGCTTATAAAACAATCCACCAGATTGTAAACATCTCACAGAGCACTGTTCAGTTGATCATGGAAAACCAGAATGGCCCAATTCAACCATAACATGGTTTCCTGCCTAAATTAACAGGCCAGACAAGAAGGGTATGAATGAGAGAAGCAGCCGACAGGCACATAGTAACTCTACAGTACCTAAAGAGAATGTATTACTGTATTAGCAATAAATGACTGAAAATTACTCTTTATAGAAGAGTGGCATGAGGTATAAAAAAAGAAAGCTGTAAGTCCTTTTCAAAGTTTGCTTAGCAAACACATACTGTAGATGAATGTGCTGTCATCAGATGAGAACAAAACTAACATTTTTGCTGTCCGTGCAGAATGCTATGTACGGTGGGGAGCTAATCCTGCATAAGTACACCATCTCCATTAAGAAACAAAGCAGTGGCAGCATGATGCTGTCGGTACACTTTTCTTCAGTGAGGACAGGGAAGCTATTCGGAGTCAGTGAGAAGATGAATATAGAGTTATGAAGAGGAATACTGGCATGGTTTGGATTACAACATTGTGAATTACACCATGCAGCATTGCATCTAGTTTGTGTTGGTAAATCCTACATAATCCTAAAAAATAAATTTTGGCTATAACATGTCTTTTTTTTTTTTTTTTTTTTTTTAAGGTATAGCAGTGGATCGCTCTGTGCTCTAATCATTGACATCTCTTAATCTTAAAGCAGAGTTTAACCCCATGTTAGGATAATTATCACTGAAGATGTGCGAGTTTATAACACCTTGGTATTGGCTGCCTGTTGCGCATCAGAACTGATGTTTTAATCTAATTAAGACAGTTCCTCTCCCTGGATATACAGTTATAATCTTCATTCTGTACGTGGCAAAGATTTGGAAATGGAATGAGAGCAGTGTCCTTCAGCTAAGAACGAAGTGTAATATTTTGACAAGGCTGCAGCCATGGATGTCTAATCACCTGCTAATGTGTATGATGTAAATATGATGATGTGGCAGACTGGAGATTTATAAAATTACTTTTTAACTGTTAATCGGGGCCACTTCCTGAGAGGTGAGCCCAGAGGTGAGCAGCTGCCTTCTGTAAACTAAGCAATTTCTCTGATCTGAGTAAGATTACAATTTCTATCAGAATCCGTTGTCATGTCTCCTGGTTATTTAATACATATAAGTTATGACGTTTATTTAAAGAGTTTGTCCTGAGTGATCTCTTTTCATGGAAAAGAACCATAAAGACAGAGCATCAGGGTGCATACATAGAGCCTATATTTAACACCCAATAATTTGGCTTTTTTTATTTTAAGTCTCACCCAAAAATGGCATATCGTGTGGCTCCAGCCACATCGATCTCATTGACTGGGCCTCCTCCACCTTTGGCCTTTTTTCTGGTTTCCAAATACTGTGAAAGCAGATTACCCAAAGCTGACAGGATCCCACTGGAAGTAAGAAAAGGCATACACATTAGACACTGCTGTAAATATGCAACCAAATACTTTTAAGGGAACAAAGTAAACCATAAATAAATCAGTTGGACTTCTGAGAGGGAGGTTTTCACGGCAGATGCTGATTGGCTGATAGCAGAAAACAGGTTGACAGTGATCAGTGCAAACAAGCAAACACAGATAAAATGCTTGGGAATACATTTTATAAAGCCACATAAAAAAGCAACAACATACTCTGATTAGAATATACTATTAAGTGGACGTTTAAACAGCTGGAAATAAAGACAACTGTCAGTTTAGGAGAAGAGAAACTGACCTGGTTACAGATTTAGTGAGGATCGGGTATTTTTTCAGGAGGATCAAATACTGCTGGAGCAGACGGAAATGAAAGGACCCATCTCGGACTGGCAGGCTCTGTACAGGCATTGTCATTCCTTAAAGTAATTGTGCATTACAACCACAGCAGCAGTCGCCCAAAAAGGGCAGCGACGTCTAGAAAGTTGTTCCTGTCTACGTCGTTACGTCAGCGCATAAACCACGCCCTGACGTTGAGGTAAAATCGGAAGTTAAAAAGTTTAACAGTACAATTTCTTTAACAAATCCTTTATATACCTATTTGTTTGGGTTTTACCTGTTTTTTTTCTTGTGTTTGTTTTTATGTAATGATGGGTTAATTAGCCGTCTTCGATACATTGCCAAACTGTATTGATGCTATCTTGACAATCTCACAGAATACTGACACCTGCTGGACTTTTAAAGACACTACAGGCAAATTATTTGATGACCTAGTAGTACAATGATATAATTTAAGTTATTGTAGGTTATATTGTATTATTTCATGTCTATG